TGTCTGATGACAGAGACATTATATCTGATGCTGTTTTCAGGGCTTATTTTGGGATAAGGTAAGCATTGACATAGCTTCCAGGCTACTGGTATAGTGAAGGGCTCTGCAACTGCTTAATACTAGTATATTGCCAGTTAGTTCTTATGATTAGTGACTTTGAAGAGTGAAGTTTCTTCCCATCCATGGCAATCCTACCTTGTAGGACTCTGATAGACACTTTGTATGGCCAGGGTTTTGATCAAGGCCTAACAAAAGAAAAGTTGAGACATGAGAATCCAGTTACATGAAAAAAGTATTATCTGAAAAATATTTTCCTGTGTAGATGTTGTGAAAGTGACAGGGGCCAAGGCTTAGGAGAGTGAATGAGGCAAACCTGATAGGATTGGTCAACATTTCCTTCCTTCTCTTTGGTTCTAGCTTCCCTTATAAACCTGGGAAGGACTAAATTTTATTTTTTTCAGGTTAAGTATTTTTAGATAAAGTTCCTGATCCTACTTTCTTGATCTAATCTTCTATACACTCTCACCTCCCCCTGGTCCAGTCCTTTTCCAGAAATCTCAGCCTGGAAAACTGAGGAAACTCAGCCTGGAAATCATTTGATAAACTACACCAAGGGGCTCTTTCTTTCCTGTTGTAATCTTTAACTGAGGTTTACTAATGAGTGGTATGGAGCTGAAAGGTGGGGGTCAAGGTAGCAGCCAATTTAGGTGTCATTACTTAAAGTGTATAAATCTTTGTTATCTTCAAAGGTTTTTAGTTAATTAAATTCCTCTCCAAATATTCTTTTTTTTTTTTTTTTTTAGAGAGAGAGAGTCTCACTCACTTTGTCACCCTCAGTAGAGTGCTGTGGCTTTATAGCTCACAGCAACCTCACACTCTTGAGCTCAAGCGATTCTCTCATCTCAGCCTCCCAAGTTGCTGGGACTATAGGAACCCACCATAACACCCAGCTTTTTTTTAGAGATGGGGGTCTCTTGCTCAGGCTGGTCTTGAACCTGTGAGCTCAGGCAGTCCACCCACCTTGGCCTCCCAGAGTGCTGGGGTTACAGGGGTGAGCCACCACGCCTGGCCCAAATATTCTTTTTTTTTTTTTTTTCTTTTTAGATGGAGCCTCAAGCTATCCCCCTGGGTAGAGTGCCATGGCATCACAGATCACAGCAACCTCCAACTCCTGGGCTCAAGCGAGTCTCCTGCCTCAGCCTCCCAAGTAGCTGGGAGGCGCCCGCCACAACACCTGGCCATTTTTTGGTCGCAGCCATCATTGTTGTTTGGCGGGCCCGGACTAGATTCAGACCCGCCACCTTAGGTGTATGTGGCTGGCGCCTTAGCCGCTTGAGCCACAGGCGCTGAGCCAGCCCAAATATTCTTGTAGATACTTGTAGGAAACTACTTCCTTTATTGAAAACAAAAGTCACATAATTCTTTGCCTGTGAATCTTCCTTTTCTTTAACATGAAAATATCAGAAATACATAAATTAAATGGAACAAAGCCTTCTTTCCCAGTTCCTTATTTCTCCTGGTGCCTGGTCAATTTAGCATACATTTGGTGGGAACATCTGCCATTTTGCTTCAGAGTTACACTATACTTCTCTGCCTTATGTACTTAGAGAGCTGCTGTAGCAGGGCCTGAGGTGGGCCTGGGGAAAATCTAACCTATTTGCTTTCTCTCTGCCATACTCTGGGCATTTTCATAAGGCTGGGAGTTTGTCTCCTGGCCTTAGGCCAGTTGCCAGAGGAAACCGATGACTAAAGCCTTCCTCCCTGCTACGTCAGCTTCTGGAACTTTTCCTGATGATTCCCTACCAGTTAAATATGCCTTATTTGGCTATTTTCTTCCTTGGGCCACCAAAGTGTCAACCTTTCAGCCAGTCTCTCATTTTCCTTTGATATAGGGAATGCCATCTTCAAGTTTATACAATACCAACTGCAAATGTTTCTTTTGTATTTGTTTAGAGCCTTAAGGCAGGGAGCAATGGGGAAAGAGAAAGGAAGATGGGAGAGCTCTGGAATGTCTGTGATTTCTCCACCATCCTTTCTTATCTCTTCTTGCCCTGTTGACCCTACCTGGTTACCTTTTTAGCTGCTTGCCTAGATCTCTGACAACCTCAAAGTAGTATTGTTTGGACCCAAAAGGCTCAAAGTATAAAGGTAGGGTGGAGCTAAGGTTCTTAGCATTTGAATCTATTCCTCTGGAGTAGGTAAAACCTTCTAGTTGGTAAACCTAGTTCTTTGTGGGGGTGCACTGTTGTATGGCTAGCCTTTCTAAATTGGCTTTCCTAAGTGGGCTGAGTCTAAGGTCCCTCTGCTTCTCGTTCCCAGTCCTGAGCTTTCTAGTCTTAGGTTAGAAGAGCTGAGCTTTTGACACTTATAGCATGGGGCACCTGTCTGGATATATTTTATTTTATTTTTGTAAATGTCTTTTAGTAGAAATGGTACAATGGAAAGAATAGTGGACTGAATCAGGATATCTGGTTTTTAGTCTCTACCTGTGTGACCTTGGGCAGGTTACTTTCATGAGCCTGAGTTTTCTTATCTGTAGAGATACTGACTTTTTATGACATTCTGATTGTTTCCAGTCTTTAAGAGTATAGTAAGGAGTTCTTGGAAATACTTGTAACAGAACAGAGAGCAATAACTATTTGAAGAAGTTGCCCTCTCCCCATTAGAATGGCATTGAGAGTGTTGTTTTCTCCCCCACCAATCAATATGTAAGCAGACCCCTCTACTTCAGTGAGCTCTGCTCTGGAGGTATTGGATCTCCCTACCATAGAGCTTGATGCAGGGATCCTGGCTTGGAAAGACAACTGTTGAATGAATGCCTTGGGTGGGGCCTTGAAGTCTAGCCTGAAGACTACAGTTGCTGGCTAATTTTGGTCATTGGTGACACAAGAAAGAACACAAGACCCTTGGTTCAGTCATTTTCCATCAAGGAAGTAGAAGAACAAGAAACAAACCAAAACTGAGTGCAAGTGATATTTGACTTCCTCTACCCCTTCCCCCACAACATCTCTCTCCATAGGGCTGGCTGTGAAATTGCTTTTGGCTAAGTCTTAAATTGCTAAGCACCTCTTCCCCTTCCTCTGTCTGAGTCATTGGTGTCTATGTTGCCCTTGGATGGGGAAAGCTTGGTAATGTGGGCTTGAGTGGAGTAAAAGGGAAGAATTTCTAGCCAAGAAGACTGCCACACACTAACTGTTGGGCTTTCAACTGATTTTGCATTTTGTGAATGTGTCTTCCTTTGATGTAAGACCTGTATATCAAAAGAGAAGGATTTCTGGATTTTCTGTGAGGACCTGCTGGGCTGATAGGGTATAAGTAAGTTCCTGGGGATGGCATACCCTTAGCCGGATCTATTTTTACCCCTCCTTCTCCTCCTCCTCCTCTTCCTTATTTTCCTCTTTCTCCTCTTCTTCCCTTCCAATTATTTCCTGTGAATCAACGATCCCAGGCCAGATCTCAGCCATATAAAAGTTGGCTATGAACATGAACTTCACTTGCTCTGAGCCCCCTGGAAGGAGGGCAGCATACAAGTCTTTTTTTTTTTTTTTT